TTTTTTTTTTTTTTTTTTTTTTTTTTTTTTTTTTTTTTTTTTTTTCTTTTAGAAACGTTTGGGATCTGTTGTATGGTTTGGAGTATAGGAAGTTAGTTGGAGGGTTTTTCTTTCCTGTTAGTGGTTTTTGTGATTTGCTGTGTGGGTTTTAATAGCTGTTTTTTTAAATTAATGTTTCATTTTTGTGATGTGATAAGAACTGTTACTGAAAGGAGTGTAGTGCAGGTTTTTTTGCTGGTAGTTGGTTGGCTGGTGGAGCCTTTCTGAATTTTTTGACAGTATTGTTGGGAATTTGATGCTGTTTGTTTTGGCATTTTATTTTTAGGAATTGGATTATAACTGCAAAGTTTTAACTATAACTAATGAAACAAAACAAATGCATAAATATGAAAATGGGAACAAAAACCTTCAATTTTAAATAAAACGGAATACATATAAATAAAACATGTAACATAAATAATGTTATCCATTACAATTAGATATTATATTGTTTGATATAGAGTATTTCATTTGTTTATATAAATACATCTAAATATAGATTATAAATATAAATATCCATATAGAAATGTATAATTAATACATGTGGATATATAAATATAAAAATTACAAAATAATAGGAATCAATATAGTACATAATGCATATTTTACTGTATATGTCTTATTATAACACATTACATGTCATAAATATTATATATCGAAATATAGTACCTCAATATATTGTGATAGAATATATAAGAACTTATAAAAATAAAAAATAGAAATATAGAAATATTTAAATATAGCTTAAAATAAACAGGATTTTTATTTTCTATTTGGTAGTAGGTAGGGTTTTTTTTATAAAATCTATAAATATAAATAAAATAAAATTAGACATCTATGTATAGAAATATATCCTAATACATTAAGATCTATATAAAAATTCAAGGGTAAGTAAATATAAATATTACCAGTATGTATGAAATATAATAGAAATAATATTTTTTCTACCTTGCTACCTTGTTATTTATATAATACATATTTATAAATACATCACTACAAAGTAGAAATGCAAATGTGACTATAATAATGAAAAAATATTTAAATATTCAAGTATTGTTTATTGTTTTTGGTTTTTATTTGATTAGAGGCAGGGTTTTAATAGAAAAAATGAATATACCTTTTATTTTGATATCACTCTAAATATAGAAATATATATTCAATGTATACAGAGATATATAAAAATATAAAATAGAAATGAAAAGAAGTATTCGGAAGAGATAGAATATAAATAACAACATACATCAAACTACATTTGAAATCGAAATTTAAATATAAATGCGAAAAATAGAGATAAATTTAAACACAGTTTGAAAGAAAAGGGGTTTTTAAAAGATTTTCACTTGGATAGAGGCTCAGGGGTTTATTTTAAACAATATAAACCTTTTAGAAATAGAAATCTAACTATAGAAATATGTCAGCAATGTATTAAGCAATGTATAAAAATATAAATTGTAATAAAATATAATAGGAATAAATGTAAGAAATTATAAAAATATAATTATAAATAAATACACATCCGAATGTGAATATAAATATGAAAAATGTAAAAATAAACTCTATTGAAATGCAGTTTAAGAGGAAAGGTTTTTTCTTTCGGTTCCTATCGGGTCCGAGGCAGGGTTTTTGTTCCGTTCTTTCCCGCGCGGATCTTTGGGGCATTCGCTGCTGACGGCGCAGTGCTGCCGCCGTGTGGGCAGAGAGCGGCACTGCAGCCCGCCGCCCGCGGCCGCCATCTTAGGAGTGGCGAGGACGTTGAAATTCGAGGACCCGTGTCTGTTTTTTACACTGCCTGAATTGCCCGCACCGCCGGCGCCCCGCAACGGGATTTTCCGCGGCGGTTACGATGCCGTGCACACGGGCTGTGGGGTCAGGAGCGCCGCGAGCGTGCGGGTTTTTGG